TGACAAGCATAATAATTACACACCTGGCCTACAAGGGGAAAGTATAATTGAGCTATATATAATTTATCTTCAGGCTTCTGGTAACGAACATCAAACTCGTGCTTGCACAAAAGAACCACCAAAGTTCTAGCTGCCTACAAATACCCAAAAGGAAATGTTGCAAGAATTTTGGGAAACAACTCGGATTAGCCAATTCAGGAAATCAAATGAAAGATGTTCACCCAGTGTAGAAAACACTGCTGTGAGATATAGATGTGTCATGCAGTATGGCACTCACCTTGGCCCTCATAGATAAATCATCATGATCCCAAGTAACGAAAATCTCTTGTATTAGAACAGATGAAAGATAGTTCCTGCAATAAAGAAAAATACCAGGTCAGACACATCTGAACATCTCCCGAAGAAGTATGAGGTCAAACTGTAGTTATTAAACCCAGGATAAGTACCACATGAAAGACATATCTGCACTCATCGAAATCGATTGACTCATTAAAATTATGCAACATAAACATCACTTTAAAAGAAAAAGGGGGACATGAAAACATAAAAAGAACCAATAAACGTGTGAGCTATGGAGCTCAGAGAGACCATTAATGGCTTGATTCAACTTATTAGCCACACATCCGAAAGGAACATTGCAGAAGAACTAGAATACTAACACTATTCCCATGACCATCTTGATTTTCATGATTTCTTTCTTTTAAAATAAATTTGAAATGTAAAGGAGAACATAGATCTGTTTTAGGTTGATTTGAATGAGATATTAATCTACTGTAAGATAACTAGTAGTCTGATATCCACACTTCATTGGTAATAAGTGAAGATCTACAAGCCAGCGCATTGCTACCCATGGTGGTAGCAGATGAATGGGGAGCGGATAATTTACTGAAAGACAAACTTGTGTTTCCTAAAAGTTTCCCAAATAAACAAGAGATATACCAATAAACAAGAATCACGATCTTGGGATGAAGCATGGTTTAAACCCCCCAATTGAAACCCGCCTAAATGTCTGCCTCAGAGTGAGGCATGCAAAAAACATTTCATTGGTGATAAGTGAAGATCTTGCGACAAACAAGAATCGTGATCTTGAGTGAAGCATTGTTTTAAAAACCCAATTGACATCTGCCTAAAGGTCCACCTCAGAGTGAGGTGTGCAAAAAAGGCCTCATGGCACTGATTATGAGACAGTTTTTGAAGGTGTACGCCTCAGTTGTATGAGACACACACCTCATAGCTTGTGGCTCATAAAACATAAAAATTCTTAGCGACCTATTCTGAAAATAATCTATTGCCCACTAAAACGTAAATAAATTGCATTTTTCATAGACCAACTTTAGGAATAGTCCACTGCCTCTATGACTAAAATAGTATTTTCTTTATAGATATTTCCTTTCGAGTATTTAGAAAATGATGAATTGTTCTATTATGAAATTTGAAGATTGTTTATGATGTATTATGAGCTTATTTGGAATTTTAATATATTTTTATTGGCATTTTTTTAGTTTATTATAAGGCTTAAGCCTCAAAAAGTCTAGAGGCTTATGCCTCATCCTAAATACCCGATTATGCCTTTTTATACATTTGGGTGAAGAATGATGCAAAATCATACACATGAATTGATGAATAATTTCAACAAACAGGAACTATATAATAAGAGCAGTAAAAATGGTACACAAAGTAATCATTTAGAAGGCATGATGATAAAGAATTACAATCAATACCTATCTGAAGGATCTCGTCCAGGCATTTCCACAAAAAGATCGTGGTCACATAAAATTTGCAAAAATGTTAGCTTGCAGTCATGCAGCGCTGATTGGCACACCCCAGAAAACTTGTCTAGGTACAAGGACACCTAAAACAGAACAAAACAGTTCCACTCATTGCCAAACTGCAAAATGTAAAACTAGGGAAAAGAAGTAAAGAATGAAAGAGATGGCTCAGTGCTCTAGTTTGAGAAAAGAAAACATTAACAAATTAAAAACAAAGAAAAACGAAAGTACAAAATGAGCAGCGCAACATAAAATTTGGATACAGCATGTTATGGATTCGATGATTAATCCGTACTATAAGCTATGATGCTCAGATTCGGGTACGAATATTGGGTACAGGTATGTCTCTTAGTGCCGAATCCATTATTTTCTAAAATATAAGATATGGGATATGGCTAAAAAGAGTCCAAATTTTGGACACGGGTACGTGGGTATGTTTTTCAAACTTCAATTTTTTTTTTTATTAATCCAAGATGTCATTTTAAATAGATCAAAATCAATCATTCACATAATAATGTTCGGAATGCTGTCACTAGAAAGGGTCAAAAAAAAATAGAAATGATCTATACATAATCATTTCAGGTCCACACATAATGGAGTTGCTTATAAAATTAATAGAATAAGCAGATGAAAGACCTAAGAGATAACGACAAGAAATCACTGAATGAACTACAGTACAAAATGGCTAGTTTATCAAACAAAAGAGAAATATTTAAGGACCCAGCCTTCATGTATATTATTGTAATTTCCGATTTTAAAGGTAATAAAATCTCAATGCAGCAAAAGGCAGTATTTCTTACTCGGAGACTCAAAATGAGGAAAAGAATTTGGATCAACTGGTACTTTCTGAGAGAAACCGCCTAAGGTTTCATGCTTGAAGGCAGGTTTGGATTTCCACTACGTCAAGTCGGTATCAGTTGGTTTATTGACAGAAAGAAATAACAGATTTTTTAAAGGAATGGATGATCTATACAAAATAACAAATGCTTCTTTTCCACATAACCCTCTCTCTGGAAAAAGTGCTATCCTGCCAGTTGCATGTCTTCACTGATTTTAGATGGTTTGTGCCTTATAGAGAGAATAATATTATTCCTTTATAATTTAACTTTATAATGCCCTTGGTGCATAATAATCTATCAAAAGGACAAATGCAATGTTGTTATATTTTGCTAAAAAAAATGTTAATAATAATAATTCGCTATAACATGATTCCTTTGAACTGGTTTTCCTTCAAAAATATTTGGGTAATTTCCCAAGTTGAATTTGCTACAATCCTACAGATAAGTTGTCAGCATGAAAGACCAAGTTTCAGGAACTCCATAAGAGACATACCAGCTCAAAAACTTGGCGAGGCTCAATTATCGATAAAAGATCATAACAAAAGAAGGCCAAACTACTGTTCAGATATTTGGCCAATCCTAGACCCTTTTTGCAGCGCTCATGAACTTCTGTTAACAGACAATCATACAATTGCATTATACATCTGAAAACACCTTCTTTCAACTGCATTGGTGGAACATCATCGCCTACACAGAGAAAACAGACAGAACCTGATCAATAAAGATATGAAATGTCTACTTGTACAGAAATTAGATCGTAGAGAAAATGTGCAACAGTTTCTGATACAAAAAGAAGTGCCTCGATGTTCTTTCCATGAGACCATTTCATAATAGTAAAAAAATAGAATAATGCTACTTGTACATAATAGAATTACATAATAATTTACGTACAGATGAGATGTCAGAAAGATAGTGGAGGTTTTTTTTTTTTATATATTTGGTTGAAGAAATTCTGACCGAATCATATCTCACCTCATCATTTATATGTAAACCATTATGTAAATCATTATATACATGTAGCACAACCAAAAATTTTAATATGTTCTCACATAACAAAATATGAGTAAAGCCGAAAACATAAATGATAATTGGATGCATGATAAAACCAAAGGCAAGAACAAAGAAGGAACCATATACATGACCTGGTTTATTAAACACTGATAACCATCAATATAAGAATATTTTCAGGGTAGTTTAAGACATAACTGACCACTATGGATACCTATTGAACAAGCGACAAAGGGTTTTAATACTTTGTGAGGTTAAGGGATAATGTTGACCAGGATATCCATAAAATTGACACGGTAAAGAGTTCCTCACATGCTTGTAGTTAATATTAAAAGAGGACCACCGTTGTAGTAACAAAAAACTAGCATTCAACCAAAATTTAAACCAAATTTTATTTCCAGAGTCAGAATAGAACCAATGATATGAAACAATGATTACATGGTTAAAGAACTAGGATATGGAAACAATTGAAGATGCACAAGTGAAGAATAAGCAGTTACCCATAGGAAGATTATGACAGAACAACCGAGTCTGCTCCAAGGCCATTGATTTGACAATTAGCTCAAGGAAAAACCAAGCCATGGCCAAGACATCATCATAAACTGGTCCAACACGGTACCCTTTGGCCTAATATTCAAAACCAAAGTGTAGAAAAATAAAAGCAATGAGCATCACTCCCATATCTAAAATACAATCATCTAATATGAAGGACACACATCAAACCTGAAAGAAAATCATAGGCGTATGTATTAACTGATAATTAATGATTTATTATGCGTGTATGGATTGCAGAGATTGCTTGTGAAGATTAAGTACATTGAATTTATAAAATACAGAATGTGATCACGCCTGACTAATAAATTATGTCTAGATGGTCAAATCTTTGAGTTTCTTTATTTCAAAGGACAAAAATGATTTGAGCATCAAAATTACCTTACTGCGGGCCAAACTTCCCCACACTGTTGACAAACCCGGATACACTGGTGGTTGACGACCACCAAAATCATCAAAAGCATAATCAACATAGTTTACTAGGAAAACATTTCTTTCACCTTCATCAACTGACTCCTGCTGCACCCTGCAGAATACCACACAAATATAAACCAAACTGAAGGCTGATGCCAGTGATACAAATTTTGCAGACTGATGCAAGAATAGTTGATACCAACTCACTTATCTGCATACAAGTGAGAGATAGACCAAAACTGTATGAATATGAATAAAGCCATATGCAAGATTTCTAATCATAGTTACAAACCATACCGGGTTAAAATGTTAACCATAGCTCTGAAGGCAGCAACCTGAATGTGGGAAAGCATACACCAACTCAATCTTATACTACCAAAACATATTTTTAGAAGGCAAATATCAAACGCGTGTGAAAATAAGTAGTCGGGGAATTGTACATGTGGAAAGGGAAACAAGAGTAGAAAACATTGTTAAGTTTTTGAGTTGACCTGTAGAGTCTCTCCACCATTGCCAATGAGATGGAGAAGCATGTTCAGAATTGGTTGAAGAAACTGAAGCAAAGCTGTAGAATCAACGTTCTTCAGACTGTTAATGGCCTGCAAGAAAAACCACAGAGACTTCAATCTAAGACACTATTAAGCAAATCATCATAGTATTATAATAAAAAAAATGTTATTAGAACTATTCATCACAAATCTAGAGACAAAAATACCTTGAGTTCTTTTTAACCATTTCAGATATTAAGCCAAAGTAAATTATAGGTAGTTCAGCTGACAAGCACAAATGTCAACTATAATCAATCCCTTCGGGCCCTTTGGGCAACAAAATTTATTTTCATAATTTCTCCGGCTTACGAGGCCACTAGCCTTAGAGTTATGGTTAGACCGTTGACCATTGAAGAAACACCCCGAGGTTCATGACAAACACCAACTTTAGTAGCTCTAAGATTGAGAATTATGCAGCCAAAAGAAATAAAATAAATTTCTAAAACAGCTAATAAATCATAACTAATTTTATGGAAGTAAATGTGTCAAAAACACCAATAGGATATTCTTTGAACTTCTTACCTTTCTTGTGAGATACTCTCCATTACGAGGACTTCGTGGTAGTGCATATAAAAGAGCAATTAAAAATGAAAATCTAATTGTCCAATCAGGTAAGTGGTAAGTAAAAGGGGGCATAAAAAAAATGGGAATCAAGCATAATGGTGGCCAATTGTAGTCATATTTATAGAGGTAAGTTATCAGTTACAAAATGCTAAACACAGAGAGTTCCAAGAGCCTTGACAGCATAAGATGGAACCATAACACTCCATGTTCTTTACAGCAATATACTGTTCATAATCATAATTACTTAACCCAGTAAACTAAAGCATTTCATATGAAATAATTATAATTACTTAACACAGGGGTTGTTTGTTTTTGAAAATACATTTTTTCAAAACACATTATCCAATAAAATAATATTACACTTTAATCGAAAACCTTTTTTAAATTTTTAACCACACATTCTCCAAAAATCACTATTCAAAAATGCATTTTTTCTCAAAGATTGGGCTCAAAAACGGCTCAGTAAACTAAATGCATTTCATATGTAAGGAATCATTACTAGCATAAACACATACAACAACAGGAAGCTAATACTCATCCAAAATAAAACTTGGGATTGGGTTGAATTTACTTGCATAATATAAATTAAAAAAAGTCTAAAATATGATGCAACCAGCAGCTGATTTCTAAGACTTTTCCAGCGTGACAATTCACAAGGGAATTATTCAACTCTTCAATTTTGGCCTCGATTTTGTTCTTGTATGTAGGCTGTGATGTGTTTTTCATGGTTCATTTGATAAAGGACAAAAAAAGATATCAACAATTGAGCCACAAAAAACAAACCTCAAGAAGCTCAGATCCCCAAGGTGGACTAGTTCGAAGGACGTGCCTGTCATACTCAAGGAAAAAGTCTCTGATGCGCTCACTAATTGGGTATAATGATGAACATAGTCGTAGCCTAAGTCTGAATACATTTTTCCCATCCTCCAAGTAATTTACCCTCTCCTGCAAGAAAATCCAAGAGTCAAGCACAAAACAAAATCAGCAACTAAAACAATGTGAGCCAATTAAAACAACAAAAAATACCATAGGGATGACATGATCATCTAATATTCCTTTCTTTTTGAGGCAAATGAAATACAGTCCTTTTACCTTCATTGTTGCATATGAAAAGTTGGAAACAAGATAAGTCAAATCACAATTTCCAGGCTAAGAAGGTGATATCCAATTTAAATTTCTTAAGGTAAATTTTATCTTTTCTACTTCTGGCATTATTGAAACCTGTAATCTCTTAGTTCCTTAAAAGAAATTTGAAGTTTTGAATGGTCGATACAGATCTGAATGTGTGGACGGGATCTTTCCTTTTTCTTTTTCAAATAAAATCAAGTCGGCAACAGGTTTTCAGAAAGGCGTTTTCAATGCTTTACCAGTCCGGCTACCCAGCCGACTGCCGGTTTTTTCCAGTTAAACCTTCCGGTCCGGTTTTGATATTATAGATCTATACAGTGAGATATCTGCAACTGATGCACCACCAAATAATAAAGAGGAACTGAAAACCCATATGCCAGGAGTAACTGCTTCAACTTCCCACTAATATAAAGCTCCTAAACAATGCACAAGCAAAAACAAAGAGGAGCTGACACTCCACTGGAAAAAAGCTTAAATTCATGATTAATACTGACAGGGAAGAAATCTGTCGTGTTCCAGATACTCTCCTAAAAGAAGAGGAAAGCATTGTATGCAGTACGCTTGAATGATTCTAGTGCCTGGAATGAGTTCTCCAGTTAATGGGCAAGTTTGTGTTCATATATTAACCTTTTTAAAGTTTTTTCTTGTCCAAAAAAAAAAAAAAATTATATGTTATGCCAGTAAATGGGAACATAATGCATTCAAATTGAAGCATTTTGAAACTTGAATGTCTATTTTGTTCGTTATTGTTGATATGCATTGTAGCTCCTAGTACACTGTCTACTCCCAAGTGTTCATCATTTCCATAAGAAAATTTGGTACCACCATCCCTTTAATTCAATTCCTACTGTTGTCCCATTCTTCAAAAGTTTTACACAACCACTGATTACCTGACAACATTTTCATATTGTTCACCAACTCTTTCCGACTCTAGAAGGACAAAATGATTTTTACTTGCACCATTATCCCTTTATGACTAGGTACTGTAGCCATACATGTGCCAAACCCACCCCCAATTTTTCTTCATTCTGTTTTCAAGGGGAGGATCATACTAGTTAAGTCATTAAGCCCCTATTTGGCACCCGTTCTCTTTTTTAAAAAATTCTCTTTCTTCATTTCTTTTTTTTTTGATAAGTAAAGAAACTTTCATTGAAAAGATCCCAGTATACTAGAAGTATACAAAAGGACAAAGGAATCAAAGAATACAATGATCCAACAAGTCTCTAAGAGAGCTGATGGAGAGAAAACTCATGCCCTTAACCCACTCGAACAATACATAAAAGAAACTACTCTTCAACTCCGGAATGAAGGTCTCAGTATCCTCAAAAATGCGAGCGTTTCGTTCCCTCCAAACACACCGATAAACACAGTGTGGAATAACCCTCCACACCAAGGAAGTCCTACTACTACCGCTAGGCCCCTGCCAACATGAGAGAAGATCGAAAATTGTTCTCGGCATGACCCACTGGACCCCAAACAAAGCAAACACCATATCCTACAATTCCCGAGCTAGCTTGCAGTGTAGAACATGATCAGGACTCTCTCCACTCTCCCTACATAAACAACACCAATCAACCAAGGCCACGTTTACGAAGGTTATCAATAGTCAAGATCTTCCCCAGTGCTGCGGTCCAAGAGAAGAAAGCCACACGGTGAGGGACCTTGGATTTCCACACACACTTCCAAGGGAAAGTTCTAAGAGATGGGGAGCTCAAGTAGCGATAGCAACCCTTAACGGTAAAAGCCTTAGAAACTGGAGAACCCCAACTAATCAAATCCTCCCCTCTACCTTGCACCGGAATAGAATAAAGGAGTTCCATGAAGGAAGATATGGACTCCAACTCCCAATCCTGCACACTCCGAGTGAAAAGCACATCCCAATGAAGAATACCATTAGCGTGAGACATGA